CCGTTGAATTTGCCATCTTGGAGCCGGGCGTTCGGCGAGCGGCTTGACTTCACGATGGCCAGTGTCGGAGGGAGCCGAAATTAAGAAGCAAGAAATTAAAGTGGAGCCTTTCCTGCCGTCAGAGCAGGTGGACACCCCGAGGCCCTCCGGTTTGCAGGTTTGCTGCTCTCTGCCCTGGCTTTGCCATGCTTCCGTAGAGCTGTTTCCTGGGCCCACGCCACGCGTTTTGCTTCACCTCTGTTTCGCTCAGGTGCTTTAGCTCAAGCGTAGCTCCAAATACGCCTGCTGGATTTTTCTTTTCTAGATCTTAATTTCCTCTTCTTCAGTCCTGCTGCATTTCAGAGACCCGTTTGCGAGTCGGTGCTGTGTTAGGACCCCCTCCAAACGGCGCAGTAGCTGTGGGCCCATCGCTGAAGGCTGATGAAGTGACTGAAATGGAGCAAAATTCAGGTTTTTCTGCTCCTCTTAATCTCCAAGGAAGTCAGTTTGGAATATCTAGAGCTAAAGGCAGGGATCAGTAAAATGACCTAAGGCAGTGTCTGAGCCAGAAGGTCTCTTGAGAGCTGGGATCAATCGGGAAGGTAATAGCCTTGCTGGAAGGGGCAGGTGTAACGTTAGCGCTGGGTAAACACTGCAATAAGAGCCCCGCGTTGCTCAATAACTAACACCTGTTTTCTCCCTGCTGCCCACAAAGACCCAGACTCCTTCCTGAAGTCGGCGCGTCTCCAGCGCCTGCCCTCGTCCTCATCGGAGATGGGAAGCCAGGACGCGTCCCCTCTCCAGGAGACCAGCAAGGACCCTTTTTCTGGAGACTGCAGCTGCCGGCAGGATGGGCTGACTGTCATCATCACCGCCTGCCTGACCTTCGCCACGGGGGTCACGGTGGCCCTCATCATGCAGATCTATTTTGGGGACCCTCAGGTAAGACAAAACAGTGGCTTTGCAGTCAGGCTTTGGCTCCGAGAACAGGAGAAGCTCCCCAACTTTCCTCCTTGCCAGCAGTT